TAGACACTTTTCTGTACAACAAAAAACAAAAAAGTTACCACAAAATTTCCCCAAAAAAGTACCAAAAATTGAGATTTCCTAATTTTGAAAATTTCAAACCCTGGTATCTTTCTCAAATTTCAATAAATTGTTTTTTTCTCCTTTCCTTCTTATATTTTGTGCAAAAACAAACAACTTTTCCTTTAGACACTTTTCTGTACAACAAAAAACAAAAAAGTTACCACATATTTCCCAAAAAATTGAGATTTCCTAATTTTGAAAATTTCAAACCCTGGTATCTTTCTCAAATTTTTATAAAATATTTTTTTCTCTCTTCCTCCTTATATTTTGTGCAAAAACGAACAACTTTTCCTTTAGACACTTTTCGGTACAACAAAAAACAAAAAAGTTACCACATTTTTCCCAAAAAATTGAGATTTCCTTATTTTGAAAATTTCAAACCCTGGTATCTTTCTCAAATTTCAATAAAATATTTTTTTCTCTCTTCCTCCTTATATTTTGTGCAAAAACGAACAACTTTTTCTTTATACAGTTTTCGGTACAACAAAAAACAAAAAAGTTACCACAATTTCCCCAAAAAAGTACAAAAATTGAGATTTCCTAATTTTGAAAATTTCAAACCCTGGTATCTTTCTCAAATTTTTATAAAATATTTTTTTCTCTCTTCCTCCTTATATTTTGTGCAAAAACGAACAACTTTTCCTTTAGACACTTTTCGGTACAACAAAAAACAAAAAAGTTACCATATTTATCCCAAAAAATTGAGATTTCCTAATTTTGAAAATTTCAAACCCTGGTATCTTTCTCAAATTTTTATAAAATATTTTTTTCTCTCTTCCTCCTTATATTTTGTGCAAAAACGAACAACTTTTCCTTTAGACACTTTTCGGTACAACAAAAAACAAAAAAGTTACCACATTTTTCCCAAAAAATTGAGATTTCCTTATTTTGAAAATTTCAAACCCTGGTATCTTTCTCAAATTTCAATAAAATATTTTTTCCTCTCTTCCTTCTTATATTTTGTGCAAAAACAAACAACTTTTCCTTTAGACACTTTTCTGTACAACAAAAAACAAAAAAGTTACCATATTTATCCCAAAAAATTGAGATTTCCTAATTTTGAAAATTTCAAACCCTGGTATCTTTCTCAAATTTCTATAAAATATTTTTTTCTCTCTTCCTCCTTATATTTTGTGCAAAAACAAACAACTTTTCCTTTAGACACTTTTCTGTTCAACAAAAAACAAAAAAGTTACCACAAAATTTCCCCAAAAAAGTACCAAAAATTGAGATTTCCTAATTTTGAAAATTTCAAACCCTGGTATCTTTCTCAAATTTCAATAAAATATTTTTTTCTCTCTTCCTCCTTATACTTTGTGCAAAAACAAACAACTTTTCCTTTAGACACTTTTCTGTACAACAAAAAACAAAAAAGTTACCACAATTTCCCCAAAAAAGTACCAAAAATTGAGATTTCCTAATTTTGAAAATTTCAAACCCTGGTATCTTTCTCAAATTTCAATAAAATATTTTTTTCTCTCTTCCTCCTTATATTTTGTGCAAAAACGAACAACTTTTTCTTTAGACAGTTTTCGGTACAACAAAAAACAAAAAAGTTACCACAATTTCCCCAAAAAAGTACAAAAATTGAGATTTCCTAATTTTGAAAATTTCAAACCCTGGTATCTTTCTCAAATTTCAATAAATTGTTTTTTTCTCCTTTCCTTCTTATATTTTGTGCAAAAACAAACAACTTTTCCTTTAGACACTTTTCTGTACAACAAAAAACAAAAAAGTTATCACATTTTTCCCAAAAAATTGAGATTTCCTAATTTTGAAAATTTCAAACCCTGGTATCTTTTTCAAATTTCAATAAAATATTTTTTTCTCTTTTCCTCCTTATATTTTGTGCAAAAACAAACAACTTTTCCTTTAGACACTTTTCTGTACAACAAAAAACAAAAAAGTTACCACATTTTTCCCAAAAAATTGAGATTTCCTTATTTTGAAAATTTCAAACCCTGGTATCTTTCTCAAATTTCAATAAAATATTTTTTTCTCTCTTCCTCCTTATATTTTGTGCAAAAACGAACAACTTTTTCTTTAGACACTTTTCGGTACAACAAAAAACAAAAAAGTTACCACATTTTTCCCAAAAAATTGAGATTTCCTTATTTTGAAAATTTCAAACCCTGGTATCTTTCTCAAATTTCAATAAAATATTTTTTTCTCCTTTCCTCCTTATATTTTGTGCAAAAACAAACAACTTTTCCTTTAGACACTTTTCTGTACAACAAAAAACAAAAAAGTTACCACAATTTCCCCAAAAAAGTACCAAAAATTGAGATTTCCTAATTTTGAAAATTTCAAACCCTGGTATCTTTCTCAAATTTCAATAAAATATTTTTTTCTCCTTTCCTCCTTATATTTTGTGCAAAAACAAACAACTTTTCCTTTAGACACTTTTCTGTACAACAAAAAACAAAAAAGTTACCACAATTTCCCCAAAAAAGTACCAAAAATTGAGATTTCCTAATTTTGAAAATTTCAAACCCTGGTATCTTTCTCAAATTTCAATAAAATATTTTTTTCTCTCTTCCTCCTTATACTTTGTGCAAAAACAAACAACTTTTCCTTTAGACACTTTTCTGTACAACAAAAAACAAAAAAGTTACCACAAAATTTCCCCAAAAAAGTACCAAAAATTGAGATTACCTAATTTTGAAAATTTCAAACCCTGGTATCTTTCTCAAATTTCTATAAAATATTTTTTTCTCCTTTCCTCCTTATATTTTGTGCAAAAACAAACAACTTTTCCTTTAGACACTTTTCTGTACAACAAAAAACAAAAAAGTTACCACATTTTTCCCAAAAAATTGAGATTTCCTTATTTTGAAAATTTCAAACCCTGGTATCTTTCTCAAATTTCAATAAAATATTTTTTTCTCTCTTCCTCCTTATATTTTGTGCAAAAACGAACAACTTTTTCTTTAGACAGTTTTCGGTACAACAAAAAACAAAAAAGTTACTACAATTTCCCCAAAAAAGTACAAAAATTGAGATTTCCTAATTTTGAAAATTTCAAACCCTGGTATCTTTCTCAAATTTCAATAAAATATTTTTTTCTCTTTTCCTCCTTATATTTTGTGCAAAAACAAACAACTTTTCCTTTAGACACTTTTCTGTACAACAAAAAACAAAAAAGTTACCACAATTTCCCCAAAAAAGTACAAAAATTGAGATTTCCTAATTTTGAAAATTTCAAACCCTGGTATCTTTCTCAAATTTCAATAAAATATTTTTTTCTCTCTTCCTCCTTATATTTTGTGCAAAAACGAACAACTTTTTCTTTAGACAGTTTTCGGTACAACAAAAAACAAAAAAGTTACCACAATTTTCCCAAAAAAGTACAAAAATTGAGATTTCCTAATTTTGAAAATTTCAAACCCTGGTATCTTTGTCAAATTTCAATAAAATATTTTTTTCTCTTTTCCTTCTTATATTTTGTGCAAAAACAAACAACTTTTCCTTTAGACACTTTTCTGTACAACAAAAATCAAAAAAGTTACCATATTTATCCCAAAAAATTGAGATTTCCTTATTTTGAAAATTTCAAAAGCTGGTGGTATCTTTGTCACTTTTTAATAAAACATTTTTTTCTCTTTTCTTCCTTATATTTTGTGCATAAACAAACAACTTTTCTTTAGGCACTTTTCGGTACAACAAAAAACAAAAAGTTACCACATTTTCCTCAAAAAAGTACAAAAAATTGAGATTTCCTTATTTTAATAATTTCAAACTTTTTTATTTTTGTCAATTTTCAATAAAATATGTTTTTCTGCTTTTTTCTTTTACTTAATCTTATGCTCTCGGACCGCAGGCTGTTTTTAAGTTTTCCATGTAATTCGCCTCCTACGAATCTATCTCTCTCATTAGCTAGATTCAAATTTGCGCGGGTACTCAGTAGGCAATGGGGGTATTATAAAACCTAAAGGTTTATTTACACATGAGTCGCACTCATTGGCCCACTGAAAGCCCGCGCAAATTTGAATTCAGCTAATGAGAGCGCTTGTTTTGTTAGAGACAAATCTGATGGAAAACTGAAAAACTTTGAAAAACTGCCTTTTTTCGGGACAACATCTTCCTATATTGAGCTGACAAACCCTGAAGTAACACTTTTTCACTTAAATTTATGAATTAAAGCAATTCATCATTGATTGTATTATTGTATCATAATTGTAAATCATTTATTAGAACTTAATTAAGTCATTTATTAAAAGAGTTTAATAATAGAACGTGTTTCAATAAAATGAACATTTGAACTTCAGGAGGGTCAATAAAGTAGAAATTCGTCCTTTTTACACTTTGCACTTGTTCAACGTCAAGTGTATACAAAAAACAGTACAATTGTTTTTATTATTAAAAAGTGTTAAATTAATTAATTATGGGTGTTTTCGACGTTGACACTCTGAGCGCTCTGAAAGTAAGAAACGTGGTTGGTTGGACTAGGGGAATTCTGAATGTTGATTGGCTAACCTTCAGAATTGATAGTTTTGTGCTCTGGTTTCATGCTCGGTATCAAAGGTCCGAGCTATCAGAGTGTGGAAATCAGAGCACAAAACTATTAATTTTGAAGGTTAGCCAATCAACATTCAGAATTCCCCTAGTCCAACCAACCACGTTTCTTACTTTCAGAGCGCTCAGAGTGTCAACGTCGAAAACACCCTATAGCAATTAGTTAATTAGTTTATGGTTATAATATGCTTGTAAATCATTTACAAGAATTTAATTTTGTTATTCATCTAATAATGTTAATTATTAAACTGCAAAAATGTATACTATTAAATTGAATATTCAGAAGCTTGAAAGTTCAACACCCTGAATGTTTAATACCTGGAAAGTTCAATACTTATATCTAAAGTTTGAAAGGTTTGGAATTTTGAATCTTCCCGGTTTTCAATAGATTGCGCTGCTTGTGATGATTTTTTTGCGCATGTCACGCATGCGCCTAATGACAGTACACCGATCGCACCTTGCGTTCATCCTCTTTAGTCATAAAAATAATAAACAAAAGGAAACGAGTGCATCGATGCATCTTTTCTTCCAGTGTTTTTGATCATGTGTTTCATCGAGTTTGTGCCTAATTAAGTGTGTTTTCCTTTTTATACAAATTAGAAAAAATTATTCAACTTATAGGTGAGATACTTAACCTCTCAAAGCATCACACAACTTGTCTTTGCGCTTGTACAATTTTAATTCCTTTATTTCGTTATATTACTTTAATAAGATTCTACTCTTTTTTTACTTGAGAATCGAATATCGTAAAGATTATTAGAAATTTTTTTTTCTAGTAATTTTCTTAATAATTATACAATTTCTAATGGAGATAGTAAATTTATAAAAAAGAAAAAATGAGATTCCTTCTGTGCGTTGATGTGCCTGTAAAAATAATCCTATTTCTGTACACAGAGTTGTAATGAATGCCCAAAGAGTTATTTTGCTAGGCACGATTCGCAATTTTTTTTCCTCCTCTTCTGTATATATATTCTAAATTGGCAAAATTTATTGATTTTGAATTTTTAATAATTAATTCCTTGAGAATTGAAAAATGTAAAAATTCATGTTTTCGTTTACCTGTTTTACAATAATTCTTAGAATATTGATATTTTCTTGCAGATTTTCAAAATGACTGAGGGTGTTGTAATAAAAACAAAGCGCAATGGGGCTCGAATTTTCAAAAATCCCCCACAACCTCATATGTGCATTCAAGATTTCATGCAGGTAATAATGTAAAATTTTATGTTGTATTCAGGAAAATCAGGAAAAAGTCAGAGATTTTTTATTAAAAGTACTGGAAAAAATTAAATGTTTAGAATTTATAAGAAAATTCTGAATTTTTGTGTCTTTTAGTTTGTCTCATAAACGAATACTAAAAAGAACATTAAATTTTTACTATTTTTGGCAATAATTTATTTTAAATAAGTTGATTCTATTAAAGAACTGCCATAAAGTTATTACTTATAAATGATTTGATAAAGTAATGTTTTTAAAAATTTTAATTTTAATTCTGTTGACATTAGTTTCAATTTTTTAAATTTGAACGCAATTTTTTGAAAGAATTCAACAATCTTAATAAATATCAAAATTCTTTCCAGATATTCAATTATTTTCAAAAAGTAAAAAAAAATTCTCGTCAACACTTCAATTATCTTTATAAATGAATAGCAAAATTCTTCGACAAAATTTAATTATTTTCAGGAATTTTAATAAAATTCATGGCAAAACTTCAATTATTTTCAAAAAATTTTCTTAATTCAATGATTTTCAATATTCTACTATTTTAATCAAATTTCCCAAAAGAATTCAATTATTAAACAAAAATATAGATAATATTCTACACGAACATTCAATTATTTTCCAAAAAAATAAAAATTTCACATGAATTCAATTATTTAAAATAGAATTTGCATAAATTTTTTCGAAAAAATCAATTGTTAGAAACTTTTTTTTTATAAAACTTTCGCAATAATTCAATTATTTTCATAAATTTTAAAATTATTTTCAGGGATTTAATTATTATCATAAATAATAAAATCGTTCGGAGGAAGTCAATTATTTTCATAAGAAACAATATTCATCACAAGAATTCAATCATTTTAAAAAGTAATAAAATTCAAGTATTTTCAAAAATTTTAATAAAATTCATTGCAAAATTTCAATTATTTTCAGAAAATTTTCTTAATTCAATAATTTGTATATCTATTAAAATTTCTCAAAAGAATTCAATTATTTAAAATCAATTTTGATAAAGTTCTACACGAATATTCAATCATTTTCTAACATAATGGAAATTTTACAGAAATTTAATTTTTAAATATAGAATTTGTATAAATTGTTTCGAAAAAAAATCAATTGTTTAAAACCTTTTTTTTATAAAATTCTTCACAAATAATTCAATTATTTTCATAAATAATAAAACTCATTGCAGGATTTTAATTATTTTTGATACAATATTTTAATCGAATTTTTCAAAAAAATGTAGGGGAATGTAGTCAAGGTTGGCCTACTGTCTAGGTAGGCCACTCGCGTTTTTTTTTCAAGTTCACTAGCGCCACCTACGCGCATTTTTGTCGAAGCTTGTCTTAGTGAAACCTAACTTTTTGTTCAATTACATTTTCGGAAAATCGAAAATTGTGTTTTCTGTGACGTCGGTACAAAAAAATCTCAAAAAAAGTTTTGTGCATAATGTGAAAAACCATTAATAAAAGATAAAAAACAAATTGAATCGTCAAGGCAAGTATGCAGAAAATTTGTGGGACTCATGGTTGAAAGGAAAACAAAGTAAAAAATCGAATCCCGAAACGTATTTCTTTATGGTTACAACAATTCGGTAATGTTACTTACTGTCAAGGTCGGCCACTATGTGTTTAAAATGCGCAAAGTTGAGGACGAGCTACTTCATTTGCAAAAACTGCAATTCTGTATAACTCATAATATAATTGATCATCTTATTAATATTTTTATTTAATTTTATTAATATTTTAGTGCAAAACTTTTTTTTATTTATATTTATTTTTTTATATTGTTTATTGTTATTATTTTGTTATTTCATTAAGTTACAAACTGTAAACAATAAAGAATCAATTTTCCGTAACTCCAAACATGTTATTTTATTTTTTAACGATTAATGCCCTTTGAATTTTAAACATGGCCGACCTTGACTGTAATGGCCAACCTGGACTACAAATTTTTTTTTTTTTAAATCTTTATAACTTTTTCATTTTTAAACCTGTCAATTTACTTTGTACAGAAAAAATGTTCCTATTAAACAGGACTTTCCAACCATATACTTCAATTGTCCAAATTCATTTTTAAAAAAAAGTTATAAACAAAAGTCAAAAAGGTGGCCGACCTAGACTATGTTCCCCTAATTATTCTTAAAAATTAGATTAAAATTAGTCGAAAGAATTCAAATATTTAAAAATTTGTTGATAAAATCATGTATAAGATTTCAATTTTCAGAAACATTCAATTATTCAATAAATTATCTATGTTTGTATTTAAATAATTGAATTCTCGTAGAATTTTCGAATAAAAATTGATTTAAAAATTAATTTCAGTTAAAGTTTTAGACAGCAAATTGAATTTTGATGAAGTGTTTCTAACAATTGCAATTTTAAAAAATAATTGAATTTTGTAAAGAAAATCAGAAAATCGTCAGAAAAAGTTTATAATTTATGAAAATAATGGAATTCTTACAACGAATTTTATCAATTTTTTTTTTAAATAATTGAATTCATGTGAAAAATGTTATTACTTGTAAAAATAATTGAATTTCTGCAACGAATTTCATTACATTTTATTTAAATAATTAATAATAATTAATAATTAATAATCTTCGACTCGGAGTGATTGATATCTTTATGTTTTATTATAATATTCTTATAATTGTTGAATTTTAAAAATGTTTGAATTTTAATTCCTATGGAAAAATAATAATTAAATACTTATTTAAAAATTTAGTTATTGATGTTTGCGAATAATTTTACAATTTAAGAAATTCGTAAGTAAATGCAGTAGAATGTTTTTTTTTTTTGAGTATCTAATAATTTTTAGAGTAAATCAGAAATATTTTACGATTTAAGTGAAACGATTCTAATGGTGAAATATTGATAGTACGAACAAATTGAAATTGTTTAAATAATAAAAGAATTTAATTTTATCCAGGGTTCCGAACTTCCTTGCTACGTTAATGTCTTGTCGTGGGACAAGGTCGCTACGCATTGCAACCTCTATCAGAATGTGCCACTTTATGGAGGAATGAGAGTATCACCCCCTCGAGGGGAAAAAGCAGAAGTTGGCGTTTTTGCCGTAATTGCACATCCCGATGTTCTCAAACAATACGGAAAAAATTGCAAAGATCTCAAGGTTTGAAATTTTTTTTTCCACCAAATTTTGACATTTTTTCACAATTAAAAAAATTCTATTAAAAAATTGATTCTGACATAAACTTTATATTCTTTTATTTTTTAATAGAAAGAAATTAAAATAAAAATATTTCCAGGAACAAGCAACGCTGATAGATTCATTGCTAGATTTCGTGGAGACGAAAAATGAAGGTGTCTACTTTTCGCGACAATACGTAATTCTTAAAGACAAAGATATCACTGGTGAATTAAAAGAAGTCTGGATGGCCGTTCAAGCCAAGAGAGAAAGGGAAAATCTTCTACCCCAACAAGAGACGTGGATTGACGCTCAACCACCGACTCCACAATATCCACAATACTCGGATCAACAAACGCAACATCAACAATTACAAACTCCGCCTCAACAACAACAGCAGCAACCACTACAACAACATCAGCAGCAGCAGCAACAACAACCACAACACGTTGAATACGCACATCCACCACAATATCAATCAAATGCCGCATATTCCATTGGACCATTGCCAAGCAATGAAATTGTAAATCACGAACGTGAAATTCTCTACAATTATCAACAGCAAAATCCAATAGTAACGCAGAGTGAGCAAATTTATCAATCGTTTAATCTACAGGATCGTTGCTATAATTATCGTGAACGAGGTCAACCGAATATGCAACAAAATGCACCGCAACAAAATTGTCCTGCTTATCCGGCGCCTCAATATCAATTTCAACAACTTCCAAGACAAATGGTCCCGCAATATGTTAATTCAAATATGCATATCAATTCGAATCCTAATTCAAATATGGCTAATCAGAAATATAAAATGAATGTTAGTTTTGCGTCGAAAATTTATGAGAAAGATAGACAGATGGATCAGCAAATGCAACAGCAAAAACAACAGCAACAACAGCAGCAAGTCAGTGATAAAAGTCAATCGAATAATACAATGTACGTACCGGTTGACTATAAGGAAATGTGGTTGGCTGATCAAGTGTTGCAACAACAGCAACAACAACAGCATCAGCAACAACAACAGCAACAACAGATGCGACATCAAGTTCCGCGACGTCGCATCAAACCCCGATCACATCAGCATAATCCACAGATGCAACGACAAATGCAACAGTTACAATATTGTCCCGTAACGGAAAATCTACGGTTAGTTGAATTTCAATTTATTATTTTTTTAAAAATTTACTTTTTAAATGTTTTCAATTTTAAAATTGAAACTGAAAATTGTACTGAAATTCATTGATTTCTTGCAAAGTGTTTATCAAAAATTTTGAAAATAATTGAATTCTTTTGAGAAATTTGAATAAAATTGTACTGAAAATAATTTAATTCTTGGTAAGAATTTTATTAAAATTTTTGAAAATAATTAAATTGTTTTGAAGAATTTATTTGAATTTTTTTTCAATAATGTTTTTTTTAATAATTTTTATTGAAAAATTTGAAAGTAATTGAATTTTATGAAGAATTTCTTTTAAGTTTATAAAATAATTGTGTTTATTATTAATTGTAATTAATAATTTTATTAAAATTATTGACAGGAAATTAAATTCTTTTAAAGAATTTTATTTGTTTCTGTTAATAATTAAAAATTTTTGAAGAATTTCTTTAAATTTCGTAAAAATAATGTAATTTTTTAAAAATAATTTTCACTGAAAGTTATTTGAAAAATAATTGAAATTTACAAAGAATTTTATAAAAAAAAAACTTTTGAGAATAATTTAATTTTTTAGAAAAATTTTATTATAATTTATAAAAATAATTGAATTATTGGGAAGAATTTTACTATTTATAAAAATAATTTAATCGTTTCGAAGAATTTTATCAGAATTTTTGAAAATAATTAAATTTTTTTGAAAGAATTACATTAAAAATGTTGAAATTACTTGAATTTAATCGAAACGTTTAAAATTAATTAATTTTTAAAGAATTTTATTAAAATTGTTGAAAATAATTGAATTCAATTAATATTTTTAAAAATAATTGTATTTTTTCTAGAAACTTGTTTAAAAATTGTATTTAAAATAATTAAATTCCTCTGGGGAATTTTACGTTTTTTAAAAATAAATGAATTCTTACAAAGAATGTTATAATTTATGAGAATAATTTAATTGTTTTGTAGAATTTTTTAAAATTCTGCAAATTAATCATCAGTTTTCTATTTACAGGCATCGCAGGTAAATATCTATTCACCTTCTTTTTATTTTAATCTAAATAAATATTCGGGTACAATAATGTTTAAATTATTTTGATAATTCATTACATTTTTAAGTTTTTGAAAAATTGTATTTCTCACCGAAATAATAAAGACTTTACAGTATTGAAAATATCAAAATTTCGATTGATTCGAATATCTAAAAGTTAATCGATTGTTTTAATTGACTAAACTCTTAATCTTTATGAGATGTTAAAATTTAATTATTGAAAAAAATAAATTATTACAATAAAATCGAAATTATTTTCCATGTTTGTTTCTTTTATGTAAAAAAAAAAAATGCTAAAAATGTTTCTTACCATAAGATTTTTTCCATTGCAGAGTGGAACAGATTCATCAAATTCAAAAGCAAATGAATCAACAAATCCAGGAACAACAGCAATTTATTAATTATCAACAATCGACCAATCAACAATATCAAATTCAAACTCAGCAAATGCCACAAAGTCAAAATCAACCTCAATCTCAGTCCAAGAGAAAAAATAGTCAATATAATGGCGGTAAGAAAAAATTGAATTTTCTGTTTTCTAAATCAATACTTATTTATTTTAATTTTTATTAATTTTTATTTTTAATCCTTTTTTCTGTTTCGCAGATTTTAATAAAACACAAAATAGGACAATAAAATTGGGATCAGACATGAGAAAATGGTCAAATAAACAAGACTTGACTGATTGTGAAATAAGCGATCCATCGAAACGAACAACAAAAAAGCGATGCTTCGTTCAATGGAATTCAGTGCCGAGAAAACCAAAAGTTCTTGGCGATAAATTAAATCAAACAAAAGCCGATGGTACAATGGAAACAAATGATCAGGACGAGGGTTATCATCAAGCCTATACGATATTAAAAAAGCCCGAGGCATCAACAATGGAATCATCAGCAACAATAAATATCGGAGATGTTTCAAAATCCACAAGTTTGGAGGATGAAATCGATAAGAAAATCGCTCAGTTATCCATTGAAGACTGTAAGGAAACGACTGAAGTCAATGCCGTGCTTTCGTGATAGATTAGTTATTAAATAATTAATATACAATTAGAAAGGTAAGAGACGTAAGTTAGTGTAAATAACTAGATAGCCTTCATAATAATCGGTAACAAAATAATTGGTCGACGAGATAATTCCAAATCCATAAAATTATTCAAATATTAAGCAAAAAAAAATGAAAAACGCCTTGAGAAACTGTCGAACCAATTCTGCCTTTCATATTCTCTTTCTGGGTAGCTGAAAATAGTTTCGAAAACAAAAGATAACATTGCTTTCAGACACCAATTTTCATTGCAAAAAATATAAAACGCGATCGAGTTTTAAAGGGAAAAAAAAACATTTCTTTAATCTTTTTCTAAAACTTTGGATCTAAAATACTTCTTTTAGCAATTAAATCAAATTTTTTAATTTCTTTTATTAAAAAACAATTGTGCGAATCTCGAAAAATGAAAGAAAATAGATTTTTAATTCTCACTTTACGTGAAATTATTGTACAAAGAAAAAAAAATATTTTCTTAAAGATATACTATATTTGTAATTTTTTATTTAAATTAAAGACAATGGAAATTTTTTTTCTACTATTTCCCATAAAGTAGAGTTCTAATTCTACCTTCTTTCATATTATTAAAAAAAAATTTTTTCTTCTTTTTCTTCTTTTTAAAAATTGGAAAAGATTTTTACAAAAAAGGGAAAAATTGTAATTTTATTTCTCACTAAAATTCTGAAATTCTCTTTTTTCAAGATAATTTCAAATTTTTTTTTCTTTTTAAAAACTTGAAAGACAAGAATCGAAAAGGTAAAAAAAGTATTCTGAAAGCAATTTCGAATATTAGTTGAAAATACATCATTATTTTTAATAATTTATTTTAAAGAGAAAAATAAGTTTTATTTTCAACTATAGAGTAAATAATCAGACTTTGTTAAAAAAAAATAGTTCGAAAGGGAAGCAGAAGGAAATATTTTAATTTTGTGATCGGTTGGGATTTTTACTGGCGTGGCTGTGAAAAAGAAAAAGAAATCAGCTAGGAGACTCACGATCAAGCGATATTTTACAAAAAAAAGTGATTCGGACAGCCAAAAATTCACACGAGACAATATTTAGATAACTGGATAAAATTGTTGAATTTCAAATTCGCAGAATTACCTCCCAATTCAAAGAAACGAGTCCTTGCAAAGAACTGATATTAACTTTTATTATGATGATTATTATTATTAGGACTATAAAATTAAAGACGTAAGAATTAAAGAAAAAAAAAAAAGATCTTCTTTAAGAAAAAAGAACCGGAACGCCTTGTTCCTAATTTTTGCTAGTAAACGCACTCGACACACGAAGGCTTCGGATTTGACATATTATAGGCTTAAGAGTTTCAAAAAAAAAAGAAAAAAAAATATGAAAAAAGCAAAAAAAAAAGCATTGCATGGAATTTGAAAAAGAAAGAAAAAAGAAAAGTCTTTTAAAGACTTTCGTGTAAAAATAATAATTGAACGAGCCAAATTTTGTTGTTGGTATACTTCGCGCCATTTGTCTTCGCAGATTAGTCAGGATAGAATATTAAGAAATTAAAAAAAAAATGATATTGAACACCATTTGTAAATCGTAAAATAGGTGCTCTTCCATAGAAAAAAGAAACAAATTGCCTCAATTACACAATTCGCGATTGATTTTGAAACTATTTCAATTCAATCTTATATTTTTCGGCAGAAAATGCGTCACAATTTCGAGAAAAATGGATTTGACAAGAGAAATCATTTTTTCTGAATAATTGATACGCGACAAGGATTTGAAAATTGTCCTTTTTACTTCTCCGGTGGATGTTGATGAAAATCGAAAATTAAAAAATCAATTTCATGCAGGATTATTTTCATAAGAATAAATTTTTTTTTATCATTTGAAAATATTTTAAAGAACAATTTTTAATTTATTTCTTCTTTTGATTTTTTTCTCCCCTCTTTTTTTATAATTTTAACTTTTCGAATTTTAATTTTTTTTCTTGTAATTAAAAATTAATTTTTTAATAATTCGTCTTTTTTTGTCTTCTCTAAGCTCAGAATTTTTTTTCATTTAATTTTTATCAATTTTTTGTTTAATTATTCTGTCCTCAAAAATTTTTAACACTTGAAATAGTTTTGCTTTGTTATTTTCTTGAAAAAAAAAATGAATTTTTATCCATTTCTCAAAAATAATTATGAATATGGAAAAATTTCTTAAATTGCTAAATATTTTTGAAAAAAGGATAAAAATTCTTTGTCCATCTAAAAAAGTTCTCAAAAAAATTCTAATTATGGAAATTTTCTTAAATGATTTTTGAGAAATAATTCGAGAATGTTTTTTTTTCAAGAAAATATAATGTTTATTGTAATCGTGTTATTTAAAAAGAAATTTTTTTAATAGATTCGTTACAAGAGTTTGATGAAAATTTTATTAATATTTTGGTGAAGTTCACACAACGAACAAATATTTTTTCTAAATATATTTTTCTATAAAGAAAATTTTTTTCTGCTCAATAATTTGAAAAAGAAAAATTTGTGAACGAAAAATTTTATTGTTTTCGTGGAGAAAAATCGGTTAAAAAACGTTGTGAACTTCACCGACATAATTTAATCATTTTTTTCTTTTTATTGTAAATTAAAATTATCGTTTTCTTTAATTATGAAGAATTTTCTATATTCATTAATGTCAGAATCATTCGCAATTATAAAGGAAAACAAAAAAAAATGTCTTTTCTAATTTTATCCGAAAATTATAATTTTAATCCTAATTTTAATTATTCTGTAAAAGAAAATTCGAATGTTCGACGTTCTTTAATATTGTGTATGTATAGAAAGAATTTAGAAAGAAAATTGATTACAAAAATTATAAAAAAAAAAAAAATTGAGAATGATTCTGTCGTCCACTGTGAATTGTGAGGCAATTTTAGAATAAAAAGATGGTTATTGTCTCATAATTGTGATTCTGACCAAAAATTAATGAAAGAAATGAAAACAAAAAAAAATAAATAAATAAAAGATCGCAGTGTGAATAATTTTATCAAAATATCGATGCTCGACATCAGCTGCTGTTTAAAATACGTATATTAATAAGAATTCAAATATGTATAAAGAAAATTTAATCTTACGACTAGAGTGTAAAAAAAGCGGCGAATGTTTAGCATTTTTCAAAGAGAAAACTTTTTTTTTCTCCCATTTTATCGAACTTTATTTTTTTCAATTTTTGATACACAAAATTCTAAAGTATAAATTATTTTTTGATAGAAAAAAAAAACATTATTGTATGTTCTAAAGTTTATTTAAATGAAATTAAAATAGATTTTATAAGAAAATATATAAAAAGAATTTATTAAATTAAAAAAAGATACAAATTTTATTTAAAACTAAATTAGAATTTAATTTAATTCAAAATTTGAAATTTTATTATTGATTTATCGTTAGTTGTAGTATTTATTATTGTTGTTTATTTTTATTACATTGTTTAGTGTATCAAATATTATTTTTTGAAAATAGTAAAAAAAAATAGAAAATAGAAAAAAGGTAACATTTTCTTAAATTTGAAAAATATTAAGATATTAAAATACGAAAAAATTTTTTAATTAGTTGTAAAAAATATTCTATACAAAATAGTAAAAGATTTGAAATTTTTCATTTCTTTTCTAGTTCGATAAAATGTTTAAGAGAAAAAAAAACTAGTTTTCTCCTTGTAGAATTATTATCTTTTATTGCAAATTTCCAATGGAAATTTTACGCCTCTTTAAACAGATGAATTATATTGCTTGGCGTATTTTCCTCTACGATTTTTTGGGACAGGGAACATTTTTTTATGCTTGAAAATTTTTAAAAACGTCCCAAAAAATTAAAAAAAAAACAAACAAAAATATGATATTAGAGCCGCGTCAATATTTTCATTTGTGTCCCACTTTATAAATCTGGTTGAAATTGGTAATGAAAAAAAAACAAATGGGAAAGGACTTAGTCGCATTGAAATGAAATGAGAAATTTTAGAAAATTTTCAATTTCAATTTATATAAAAGAAAAGAAAAAAAAAGAAAGAAATATATTTTGATTGAGTTGCACTATAATTATACATTTTATCATAAGAAAATTGTTTTTTGAATATTGCATTTTAATTTCAAGTCGAAACAGAAATTAAGATTTAATCGTTATGATTTTAGTTACATTATTTACAAAACTCATTTTATTCATCATAGTGTTTTTATAATTTTAAGTTTACTCCCTCCCAAAAAAAACTGTGTATAACAGTGAAAAGATGATTTAAAAAAAGTTATTATTTTTTTTTTTGTTAAGCAAATCCAATGTTTAATATTTTTATTTTTTACTCATTCAAATAGAATTCAATGATAAAATTTTAATTTATATTTCAATATATTGATTTCTGTTTGAAAAAAAGAATTGTTTTAGTTTTTTTTTCTCCTCTATAATTCTTTAAAGTTTGTCTTGTTTTGAAAAAAATTTTTATTTTTCAGTTTTTAATCTGAGTTATTAATCTAGACTTAATGCAAAGTATTATTATTATTATTATTATATTATATTATAAATAAAGTTGAGTGAAATATGAAAGAAAAGAGATCTTTCGAAGAAATTTATTTTTTTAAACTTTAGCGGTTTAAGACCAAAAAAAAAAATATTTTTTTTATATTTTATGCATTTAGATTTTTAATGAAATGTTCACTGCGACTTTTTCCTTTCTCGCGAGACACAATTTATCAAAAGAAAGAAAGAAAGAAAAATCCGATATTCAGCTATTGTTAATAATATGTATTCAGTATTCATGTTATTTTAGATTATTATAATATTATATGGTTTAATATTGTGGCCATTAATATTGTAATCTATTATTATTCTATAATACACGTTTTTTCCAAAGTTAACTCGTTTATTCCTTTAGTTTTTAGTAATTTATGTTTAAGTTCCAAAATGTCCTAATAAATTAATTAGGAATTAAGTTATTAGTTAATTACTTAGGAATCAGCAAAATAATGAGAAATATTCGTCGAAAAATTAGAAAATTATTATTTTAGTTTCAGACAGTTTGAATTTGGTAATTAATTTATCTTCTTCTTTATTAGAACTTGATTCTTAATTAATTTAAAATTGATTTATTTATAGATTAAGTAACTAATTGATTATTTATTTAGTTTTTAATTGACTAATAAATAAAAAAATAGTTTTTATTAATTAATAACAATTAAAAAAAATAATAATTAAGAAAATAATTTTTAATTTTTATTATTATTTTTTATTTTATTAATTAATTTTTTTTGAAAGAATTATATTAAAATTTTTGAAATCAATTGCATTAATTCTAAACGTTTAAAAATAATTAACTTTTAAAGAATTTTATCAAAATTATTGAAAATAATTGAATTCAATTAATATTTAAAAAAATAATTGTATTTTTTCTAGAAATTTTATTAAAATTGTATTGAAAATAATTGAATTCCTCCGAAACATTTTATTATTTATTAAAATAATTGAATTCCTTTGAAGAATTTTACTATTTATGAAAATAATTGAATTTTTGAGAAAAATTATTGAAAATAATTGAATAATTGAATTTGTTAGTTATTAAATAATTATTATTGAATAATTAATCCAAAATAATTTTGAATCGATTAATAATTAATAATTTATTTAATTTATTGTTAATAATAATAATTTTTTTTCACGTTTTCAGGAAATTGGTAAATTTTCTAGTGAAGTATTTCTTTTTTTTTGTTTTAGAGAATTTAAAATTTATTTGTTGCAGTTTTAATATAGAGCGCAAAATACACTTTCACTTGTACGCATAAGTGCGTGTAACATGTAGTTTTCCTGCAGAGTATCTCATTGAAAATAAATTCTGTAAAGGCACTGCGTTCCCCTGCCATTTTACGCTAGATAGAATACTACTTTCGCTTTTCTGATCGTTCCGAAGAGCAATTCCTGAGCTCTTTTCTCAACGCTTTCGCCGATACGCGCTCAATCAAGCAAACGAAAAGATCACTGACTTCGTTCAAAAATAGTCCTCTTTGGTTTTTTCGAAAAAAAAACAAACAAATTTTAATGAATTCACAGTTAAATTTTTTTTTCTGACAAAGAATTTAATTATGTTCAATATTCTTGTGTATATTTATATTTATTCACTAGTGTACGAAAGAAATGGACAATTTTGATAATTTATTTTAAATAGAAATTGTTTTTATTTGTGAGGATTTTTCCAAGTGAATAATATTGTGAATGTGCAGTGTTTAAAAAATAATGTGAGAATTCCAAGTTGTAAAAGTCAAGGATATCTGGAGAAGTGAATTTAAACAGAAAAGGAGTAAGGATTTTAACAGTTTTTAAATTTTTGTTTTGTTAAAACTTAAAAAGTGGAAAATATATTTCAATTCAACGTAAAAAAAATAGTAAATCTAATTTTGCAATAATTCAGTAAAAAAATTTCAGTAAAATAATATTAATTATATTATTACGATATTAATACGAAAGGGCTCGTCCCGTCTATAAATAAATAAATAAATTAATAATAATACTCATACGAACAATAAAATTGTAAATATAAATAGTAATAATAGTAAATTATATTTTTAATTATAATAAGACAATAATAACAAAAATAAAATTAAAATTAAAAAAAAATAAAATGAAACAGAATAAAAAATAAAATAATTTTAATAAGAATGATAATAATAATAATAGAAAAAATAGTAATAAAGTAGAAGTAAACATTTATTTTTCAAATCATTGATGAAAAAAAAAATATTCATAACTTTTTACTGATTTAAAATATTTATAGGTCAGATGTGAAATTGACTGATTCTATTTTGGAATTTTAAATAATTTGGAATTTTAAGAGATATAAATATTCTTTTTATAGATTCTTTTTTTATGTACAATCTCTCCTTACAATTACAGCTATAAAAAAAAATTAGTCGATTTAAAGAAAACGGTAACTTTTTTTGTAGGTAATATTACTTGAAATAAATAAAATTGACAAAAATAGAAAAAAAGGTAACAAAAAATTGCAACATCTGACATAATACCCATGACACGTTATCACTAGTTCTATAATATAATTCACACTTGATTTAAATATTTATTGACCGATAATTTATTATACTTTCGCTGAGTAATATAATTCTCACTTTAAAAATTTTTTTTTTTAAAGAAAAAGAGAGAAGAAATTATTATTTCTATAAAACTATTTTTTGCTTCTTTTTTCTTAAATATTTTCTATTATTAACTAATTTATTTATTTACAGTATAAACGATTTGAAAAGGAAAAAAATAAATTATTATTTTAATTACTATTTTCAAAAAAGTATTTTTTGTTTATTTTTTTCTTAAATATTTTCTACCAATTTATTGTTGTGCCGGTCTTTAACGAGTATAATATTTTGATTTTTAATATTTCGAAATTTATAAATTATTCTCTGATAAATTTTGAATTATTATTTTCAAAATTAATTTCAAATTACTAAGAAAATTTAGTTTTAATACAAAAATTGAGTAAATCCTACTTTTCTAATACTATAAAGAATTTTTTATTTTCTGAAATGTATTAATTAACATATTTTCTTTCTAATCCACTAAAAACAATTAGAATTCGTAAAAATTTAATTAATTTTCTAGAAACATAAAAAGAAATTCTCGAGTTTACTTGTTTTTATTAAAATTAACATAATTTCTGAAATAATTTACATGTTCTTTGAATGAAGCCTGAGACTTAATTTTTCAAAATTTTACATTGATTTTAAACAAAAAGAATATTTAGCTTGAAAATTTAATTTTCAAAATTAAGTGATTGTGAGACAAAATTTTTTTGGCAAACATTTGGATTCATTGTCTATTTTTAAATTTTGTTATGAAATTTGTTTGTTATTTATCTCAGAAAAGTTAGTTACTGATAGTGTCGCATCAATTTTGAGACAAAATAAAAAATTTGCATTTTTTTTTATTTTTTGAATTTTGTGAAAAAAGTTCTAACTTTTGTTCAGCTTAATATTTTTTAATCAAATTTGATTAATTAATTATTAAATTTATTAATATATATTATCAATTTATTTATTTATTTGTTTATTTATTTACAGTAAAAACGAGGTTACAGTGAATAAAGAAAAATTAAATAAATAAAAAATATGAATTTCAGCGTTTTATGAAAATATAAAAAATGCAATTTTTATGTAATAAAAAAAATTAATGTGTTAATTAAAAATTGTTAATTTTATTTTTAGGATGAAGATGAAGATTGAGGATCAATAAATTTGGTGCTGAAATTGAAAATTTTTTTACTTCGAATCAATATATAGAATTGATATTATATCTGAAGATTTTCACAAAAATTTGAATATTATGTACTGAAGATGTTGTCAAATTTGGAAAAATATCTTTCTATCACTCGTTGAATATTATATACACGAAGAAATGGAGAAACAAGTATTTTAATAAAAGATTTCTTCTTCTTCCTCTTTTTTCTCTTTAATTTCACGTTTATTATTCAAACATATAATAGAAGAATCGTCAAATAAATATATTTTTTGATAAAAAAAAAAAAAAATATCTAACACAGAGAAGGGAGAGATAAATGAGAAGAAGGAGTAAATTTCCTTTCTCCAGAGATGTCGTAAAACGAATAGCGAAGCCTACCAGCCCTCCTCTTAACGTCAAAACGTATAGAAGTCTCATTTCCTTTGGAACTTGCCGATTGTAACACGGAATAAAAAAAAAAAGGAAAAGTTTATTTAGATTCACTCGAAAATAAGTATTCTTTTTCTCAAGAGACACTTTCGTCTCGTGTAACAAACAAACGGTCCACTCTATTTTCACACGTGGGAAGCTGCAGATGGACCTCTTAACTTTTGTTTTGAGAGGATCAATTATTTTTTTCAAATATTTGAATTAAATTTTTATTGTGATAATTGTGAGTTAATTTTTTGTTTTTTATTATTTTTTTGTTTGTTACAGTTTTCATTGTTTTGTGTAATAAAATTTTTTTTTATTTTTATTACAGATATTGAAAAGTAGATGTTTTGTTTTATTGTCAGTGGTAAATAATTGAGGTGGATAAAAATGACGTTTGGAAATGTCGGTGAAACCTGTTCGATGGAAACTGAAATTATCGAGGGTGAGTTTTAATTTTTTTTTTATAAAAAGATTACTTTATGGAAAATATTCTCTTATACAGAATCATTATCTTCTATAAATAGAAATGAAGAAAACAAACGTAATTTTTCTTTATTTCAATTTTTTTATTTTATTATAATCAAAAACAGAATCTAGAATACTTTTTTTTTATTTTTTGCTATTTTCTCCTTTTTTATTTTATCAAATTTATCAAAAAATGCAATTTTTATTTTATTAAATTCCTCCAGTGAAAAGTAAATCTAAATACTAGACAAAATTTACGAAAATTTAATAAGAATAACTAGTTTATAATTTTTAATTTGTCTAAATATTTTTTTATTTTTCTACTAAGTTTATTACTGGAAATTTTTTTTTTTTTTTTTAAATATATTTTTGTCTATTTTGTCCATTTTTAATACATTTTTGTATATTTTGTTTTCTTGTATTTTTGTAAATATAATTTTTTTGTATACATATTATAAACATTAAAATATTGAAAAAATAATTTTTCATTAATAAATAGAAGTCAAATTTGATAAAATAAAAATTGGAGTAAATTTTTAATTTCTTTTTGCACTTTTTTCAAAATTTTACAATTTTTTTTTAATGTTAGTTGTAAATAATTGTTTCTTCCTCGAATAAATATTGAAACAAAACCAGAGAAAAAAAATAGTTATTTTGAATAATAAAATTTCTGCCCTTTTTCGATTTTTAATTCAGACAAACATTTAAATATTTTCGTAATATTTTTAATATTTATAATATAAAATACAAAATATATCAAATTAAAAACTTAAAATAGTTTCATATTTTGTTAAATATTTTGTAAAATATTTTGTAAAAAATTCTTTAGAGTAAATTCTTCAAAATAAAAACCAAAATTCTGTCTTAAATACTCTTGTAATATTTTTATATTTTATTAAATATTAACATAGATTTTGTAAAATACATTTTTACAATAAATTAAAAATAAAAACCAAAGAAGGGTAAAAATTTTATTATTTAACAATTAATCCCAATAATTTTCTTCTTTTTCCCTTTTATTTGAGGCGGAAACAATTATTGACAAATAAAAAAAAAATTAAATCAAAAAAACTTAGATTTTGTCAAGTTTTGAAAAAAAGTGCAAAAAAATGCCTACCAAATTTTTCTGATCTTGAGAACAAAGAAGCAGAGCATAAAAAAAAGCTTATAAACCAGTCAAGTATGAAATTCGGTGAAAGTTGAACGAAGTAGAAAAAGAAGAAATTTAATGATTTTGCAATATCACGCTTGCAACATCCTTCAGGATCAGTATTTATTATTCGATTATACAAATTATGTTAATTTGATTTTGCTAAAAAAAAAAAGAAAAAAAAATTCTCTTATCGATAGAATTTGAGAATTTTTTTATTTTACAATAAAAATCTGTTTCTAATTCTAATATTCAAAATACGATCATAAAAAAATTGAGAATAGAAAAAAAGCTATAACTTGAAAGATTTAAAAACTGCAAATCTTTTTTTTTTTTTTGAATTTTTATTTCAACATTTAGCAAACCTTGAAGATTCGTATGTTCATCTTTTTTTGTATATATAGAGAAATTAATTGACTCTAAAAGCTGAAGGTTAAAATTGGCTTAATTTAAATAAATATCCTTGGAATGTTATCCTAAAAAAAAACAACTGGTTGATTGCAATCTTTTTTTCTCATCTTTCACAAGAATTATGAAATTGGGAAAAAAAATTAAGTCACGAACAGTCTAGTTATAATAAAAAGTGCAAATTTTTTTTCGTCATTGGCCAATTTTTAAAGGTGTAATTTAAAAACACAGAAAAAAATGTTTATATTAAAATTTATCACTTAGATAATAATTAATTTAATAGGTATATAATTAACGAAATTATGTTTCAATTTTCAAAAAAAGGAAAATTAATAATTTTTTCTTTTTTCTTTAATAATAATAATTAACGAAATTATGTTTCAATTTTCAAAAATAGGAAAATTAATAATTTTTTCTTTTAAAGTGAAATTCCTTAAAAATCTTTCTCGATTTTTCATTTAATCATTATTTAAGGAAAATTTTTCTTGAATAGTTAATAGATTTTTTTTTTACCTGTAATTGTATAATGCAACTGTGGAATCTAATACCACAATAATTCTAATGAAAGTACATGAGTAGAAACTGTACGACCTCGACTCACTTTCGGCATTTTGCACCTGAGTAATAAGTTCTCTTCATCTTCTTCTTCTTCTTTTTTTTTTGCATGACTGCTCACAAATTAGTCGACAAAATGGGTGGATCGCTTTCTTCTTGTGGACCTACAAATGCAAGCATTTTTTTTTTATTTTTATTTTTTTTTTCGCTTAAAAACCACCGCGTAAAAGAAAGTCAAGCACTTCTCATATTTTTATGTTCAAACCGACAATTAGAGAAAAATAAACAAATTGCGGTTTCACGAGATTATTTCAGTGTTTGAAAGACAGATCTTTAAACATCTTTTTTAGAATGAGCGAAAATTAAAAATCGAAATCAATAGTTAGATCTTTAGTTTTTTTTAATTTAATTTAATTTAAAAAAATTAATATTTAGATCTTTAATTTTCATTTAATTTCAATTCATTAAAAATATTTTATATTAAAATCTTTAATTTCCGCTTTTCTGAAACTACTGCTTCGGATTCTTTTTTCGAAACATCGAAGTGACATTTTTTCGAAATTGAGATTTTTTCATTAAAAAAAAATAAATAAATAAATACAGTCACACATTTTTGTATAAAAGAAATTTAATTTTTAAATAAATTCAATTTTAGTTGTGTTCTGTTAATAAATTATGTTAATTGAGTTTTTAAAACTCGTTCTTAACAAAAAATAGAATCGCAAAGTTGTCTTAATTTTTACTTACAAATTGACGAAATTTAAAAACAAAATTATGTAACATCGATAATTTTTTTATTATGAATTCCTTTTATTACGAATTTTCTTTGTTTGTTATAAATTTTTTTCTATTATGAATTCTTTTTATTACTAATTTTTTTTTATAATAAATCTTTTCTTGATATGAATTCTTTTTTATTGCCTACGAATTTTCTTCGTTTATTATAAATTCTTTTTATTATGAATTTTATTTTGTTACGAATTTTCTTTTTTTTATTATGAATTTACTTTGTTACGAATTTTCTTTTTTTTTTATTATGAATTCTTTTTATAACGAATTTTTTTTATACCTAATTCTATACCTAATTTTTTTTATAAATCTTTTCTTGTTATGAATTCTTGTTATGAATTTTCTTCGTTTATTATAAATTCTTTTTATTAGGAATTTTTTTTACGAATTTTCTTTGTTTTTATTATGAATTTTTTTGTTACGAATTTTCTTTGTTTATTATAAATACCTTTCTATTATGAATTCTTTCTATTACGATTTTTTTATAATAAATCTTTTTTTTTGTTATATAAATTCTTTTCATTACGAAGTATCTTTTTGTTTATTATGAATTTTTATGTTACGAATTTTCTTTGTTTATTATAAATTTTTTTCTATTACGAATTCTTTTTATTAAAAATTTTCTTTTTTTTATAATAAATCTTTTTTCGTTATGAATTCTTTTTTATTACTAATTTACCGAGTTTTTAAAATAATTTTTAAAAAATTATGAATTTTTTTTTACGAATTTACTTTTTTATTGTTTATTGCAAACTAAATATTTTCGTATTAACTAATTTTTCCAGCGACTTTTTTTCTTTTATTATAATTCAGTTTCAATATGAAAATAAGAAAAATGAACGTTGAATAATGTTTTCAAGAAAGTTGGTCTGCAATGTTAAAAATACTTTTTACGTGAAAGTAGAAAATACACTTTGTTAAAGCTAATAAAATTGTGGCAATTATTGATAATTGTTTCTCTTTTTCATGATTTTAAAATCTGATGAAAGTAGAATATATTTTATTGAAGAAGAAAAAAAAAATTCCCTCTTTGCTCGTAATATTGAAATTAATTGAAAATTATTTTCTTTCTCTTAGGAAATAAATTGTATTTTAGTAAAAAATTATTTTGGTAAAAAATTGTTATTTTGGTAAAAAAAAATTTTGATTTAGTAAAAAAAATAGTAATTTAGTAAGAAACTCGTGATTTAGTACAAGATTTATTGAATTGTCCTGATTATAAATTCCAGACAAGAACATTACACAGATGTTACCTGTTTTATTGGCGTTGAATACTAAATAAGTTCATTTTCAATTTTTGCCACTATTTTTATTGCATTACTACCGGATTGTCAGGAATTAATGTTTAACTTTTTTTATGCGTGTTCGATGTCATGTTAAATAAATTTTTTATTCTTACAATTCCATTCGTTTCGTTATCTCGGAAATCCAAGTTTTTGCATGCGTTTGGAATACAATGCTAATTATTTATCAGAATTATTTTCTTTTTGTACTTATAAATATTTAAGTCACCATAATTTCTATATTTGTTTATTCTTTTGTTATTTTTATTCATCTAATTTTTTTCCATAATTTTTAAATTTACTTTTTTCGTTGTTCTTTTATTTTAACTTTTTCTTTTAATTATCTTAACTCTTTTTTTAATTATTTTTTATTAACTCTTTTTTAATTATTTTTTATTTTAAATTTAATTATTTAATATTTTTTAATTTTGCTCCTTTTGTTATTCTTCTATTTTTACCGATATATCAGGATATATTTTCAAATTTTATTATTTTTCACTATTTTTAATTTCTTGACTATTTTTTTTATTTTTTTTTTCTATCGACTGTGAATGTAAATTTATAAATATTATACAATTTAACCGTTTGTAGCGTATAAAATTTTGAATTTACCAATTTTGTAATAAAACTTTAAATCTGAATTCGATAATAAGAGGGAATTTCTGTTCCGACCTGAGTTAATAAAATTTTTATTAACACAAAATCCGGTGATTTGAGGACACGATTAAGGTCACGTAGACAAATTTCTAGTTCGTATCGAGGTCACGTAGTCAAATAGATATTTTCATGAATCAACGAAATTTTTTTTTCTACATTTTAGAGAAAAAAAAGATGCTTAAAATATTTCTTTAATTATCCATCAAGAAGAAAACAATCACAAAAAATAAAAAAAAAAAAAAAATTAAATGAAACGAAGATAAATTTGTTTTATTACAATAAACAGAAAATGAAATTATTATTTGGAATTGAAAGTAAAAATGTCAAAACTTTCATTTGATTTGATTTTCATGTGAATTCGTATCACGTAAATTTACATGTGAGTTAATGATCCCGCTATTCAATCATCACGTGTTATATTTATTCACGTGACTGAAAATTTAATTAGTTATGAAATTATCTTAGATTTATAATCTCCTGAATATTATCCCTCTTTCACACCTGCATTAATTAATAACGAATCAATTTCATAATGAGAATATTTTAATCTCCAGAGTCAAGTTCAAGATTAAAATAAATCTCTATTTGGAAATTTTTGTGTATAATTAGGAAAATTTTTTATTGATTGTTTGTTTTATTAATTTTTATTTAATTCAATTTTTAATAGATTTCGAATAAATTAAATTATTTTCTAAATTCTTTAATAAATTCTTCAAAATAATTTAATTATTTTTATAAGTAGTAAAATTCTTAGCAAGAATTCAATTATTTTTATAAATAATTTAATTTAACTTTATTGAAATAAATCCAACAGTCACAAAGACCAATTACAGGATTATCGGTTATAATAGTAAAATTCTTTGCAGGAATTCAATTATTTTTAAAACAATTCAAATATTTTCAAATATTTCCATAAAATTCAATTATTTTCTAAAATTTTAATAAACTCTTTGAAATAATTCAACTATTTTTAAAAATACTAAAATTCTTTGCAGGAATTAAATTATTTTAAATCTAATTTAAATAAACTTACACGAAAGAATTAATAATTATTTTTAAAAATTTCTATAAAATTCAATTTCAACAAGAATTTTAAATTCTCTAAAAATAATTCAATTATTCTCAAAATTTTTTTTAAAAAAAATTCTGTATGAAAATGAAATTAATTTCAATGCAATTTTGAAATATATTCATAAAAAAATTAAAAGAATTCAATTATTTTCAAATATTTACATAAAATTTACATTTATTTACTAAAATTTTAATAAATTCTTTGGAACAATTCAATTATTTTTATTAATTGTAAAATTCTTCACAAGAAGAGAAGAAGAATTTAATTAGGATTTTTAAAGATTTTATTAAAATTCTTTGTTATTTAATTTATTTTACCAATTTGCTATTGAATTTCTTTAATCAATTGTTATTTAAATTTATTTTATTAATTATAAATTGAAATTAATTTTTTTTTGTTCTTGTGAACAATTTTGTTTGAATATTATGATTGAAAATTATTTTTTTGCAGATCAAATTAGAAAGAAACTTCATACTCTGTTGAAAGAAGGAACACAAGTCCCGGCTGATGAAGATAAGGAAGATTTGGAATTACCTCCTTATTATGATGCGAAGAAATTCAAATTTGCCCAAATTTGCTTTCACAATAATCTCTTCACGATGATGATAGCTAAACTCTCGGGACTATTGACATTATTGGCAATACCATCGATTTTAGATATTCTCATATTTACTAAACAAAGTGGCACGCCGTGCGCAGCTTTTCGACGATATTTTTCAACGATTCTTCACACTTTCATTTGGTACGAGAAGGATCCCCTGGAAGCAAAAGAGTATGTAAAACTTTAAGAAAAAAGTGTTTCTTGAATAAAGTTAATAATTAAATAAATAAAAAAAGATTTATAAAAATTAAAATTTTTTTAAATTTAATTATTGTCTAATAATTATAATAAATAATTATAATAATAATGATAATAATTTAATAAAAAATTTGATTTTAATTTCACCTCTTTTTAATGATCTCATTTTAATTTTTAATTATTAAAATTTTTTTATTTCATTTTCATTGTTTCATTTCAGAAAAATTCATTCTCACTTTCAATTGATTGAAATACAAAAAAAAATTTTTTTTAGAAAAAATTCTTTCACGTGAATTGGGATTTTTTTTATTAATTCGCAAGAAATTCTTTATATTATCCATATACTGAGAATAATCAACGGTCGTTGAGGAATTTTCAGATTCGATTGAAATTCACGAATTTTAATGACTCCACTATTCTTAGAGCAATAAAAATTTACATAAATTACAGTTAAAATTGAAATGAGATCTAAAAGAGGAAAATCAAGTTAGGGAAAATAATTTAGATAAAAATAGATAGAGATAAATTATAGGATCAGTTAAAATTATAGTTCAATAATTTCTTCGATTAGAAATTAATAATTGATAAAATTTTGAATCAATTAAATTTTAACTGGAATTAAAATTCAATATTTGAAATAAATGTTTTATTAATTTCTGCAAAATCTTACTTTTATGATAAAATATTATTTTTGTTATTTATTTTTATTCTATTTATTATTTTTAGTATTTTTATTATTATTTTCAGTATTTTTATGTTTAGAATTTTTTTTTATCCTTATTGTTACTTTACTAATTAATAAAAAAAATCCTGGCAGGTTCTTCAATTCACTGAGAACTGTGAGAAGAAAACATTGTTCAGCTTCGCGAAAATGTTCTTCGAGTGGTCTCCGAAGAATAACGCAAACTGACATGGCAATCACGCAATTTGGATTTATAGGATTCACTTTAATGTCTGCTGAACAATTGGGTGTGAAGGCGACAGAAGAAGAACTTGAAGGAATTGTCCACTTTTGGAGAGTGATTGGATATATGTTAGGAATGGAAGAAAAGTAAGGATTTTATTTTTTTTCTTTTACTTGAAAGTTATTATTAATTATTAATTAATAATTAATTAATTAATTAATCTATCCATCTATATAATTTGTTCGTAGTTCAAGTTAGTTGTTGATTTTATCAATATATTTAAAAATAATTGAATTCTTGTGAGGAATTTTATCAAAATTTTTGAAAATCCTATTTAAATTCTTTTGAAGAATTACTTTGTATTTTTTTAAAATAATGGAATTTCTTGAATAATTTTAATTGGAAATTTTAAAAGTAATTGAACTTTATGAACTTTCAAGTTTTTTTTCTTTCAAATTTTTAAAATAATCGTGTTTGTTAATAATTATAATTAAAAATTTGATTATTGAATTTTATTTTAAATTTTATTGAAAATAATTGAATTCCTCAAAAGAATTTTATTATTTATAAAAATAATTTAATTTTTTCGAAAAATTTTACTATTTTTTAAAATAATGGGATTATTTTGTAGAATTTTGCCTGAAATTTTAGAAATTAATTGAATTTTTTTGAAAAATAAATAATAAATTTGACAATAATTGAATTCTTTCAAGAAAATTCTTTACTTTTTTTAAATTAATCGATTTTGTTAATAATTAATAGATAATGTTACTATCAAAACAATTTGATTAAAATTACTGACAGAAAATTAAATTCTTTTTAAAAAATTTTATTAGAGTTTTTGCAAAAAATTAAATTTTATTTGAGGAATTCCTTGAAGTTTTTTTGAAAATAATGTGGTTTTCTTTAAATAATTTTAATTTAACATTTTTAAAATAATTGAATTAAACAAAGAATTACAAAATTTTTTTAAAAATATTCGTGTCTATTAATAAATTATAATTAAAAATTTTATTATTGAATTTTATTAAAATTGTATTGAAAATAATTGAATAACTGCGAAGAATTTTATCAAAAAATTTGAAAATAATTCAATTGCTTTGAAAAATTTTATTATTTATGAAAATAATTGAATTGTTGTGAAGAATTTATTACAATTTTAAAAAGTAATTCAATTTTTTCGAAAAATTCTATTAAAAAATTTTAAAAAATAATTGAATCCTTTCGTGAAAATTTATTAAAATTGTACTGAAAATAATTAAATTCCTAAGAAGAAGTTTATCAAAAATTTAAAAATAATTCAGTTTTTCAAAAAATTCTATTAAAAATTTTTAAAAAATAATTAAATCCTTTCGTGAAAATTTATTGAAATTGTATTGAAAATAATTCAATTCTAGAGAAGAATTTTATCAAAAAATATGAAAATAATTCAATTCTTTCGAAAAATTCTATTAAAAATTTTAAAAAATAATTGAATCCTTTCGGGAAAATTGATTAAAATTGTATTGAAAATAATTGAATTCCTGCAAAAATGTATACTATTCAGGTTTAAATATAATTGAATTTTTTCGAAGAATTTTATTATTTATGAAAATAATTGAATTCCTGAGAAAAATTTATTAAAATTTTAGAAAATATAATTAAATTGTTTCGAAGAATTTATAAAATTCTTGAAAATAATTGAATCATTTCGTGAAATTCTATTAAAATTGTATTAAAAATAATTGAATTTCTGCAAAGAATTTTACAATTTAATAAAAATAATTGAATTCTTCCGAAGAATTTTTGTAATATAATTTTTGAAAATAATAATTTATGTATTTGATGAGTGATTTTTTAAAATTTTGAATTTGAAATTGTTGAAAAATTTATATTTTATAACAAAAAATTTTATAATTTGCGTAATAATAATAATTAATTAATTAATTGCTAATTATTAATTAATTCTTCAATTTTCGTTTTGTTTTTTTATTTCTTCTGCTAATTATATTCTCCGAGTAACGATTTTTTTTCTCTCTTACCTTTTAGATATAATCTTTGCACTGGAACTGTTGAGGAATGTCGAATTCTCTGCCGACTACTTCTAAACGAAGTTTTTATTCCACTTTTCGAGAAGGGAAATGAAAAATTTGACGACATGGGAAGAATTCTCATTGAGGCAATGTGGCCGCTTATTCCATTTTTAGATCCGAAGGCATTCACTGCGTTTACTTTGCAACTTGCAACATCTGCAACAATTAATAATAATCATTCCATTGTCAATGGTATAATTTTCAGTTTATTTCATTTTTTTTCATTTCTATTTCACTTCTCTTTTCAAATTAAGTAAATTTACTTTTTAATAAAAATTTTCCTAACATTATTTTATTATTTATTTTAAATTTTATTTTTTTTTTTACAAATTATGTTTTATTTTCAAATAATATTCTCTTTTTTAAAATTTTTAATTCTCTATTTATTTTTGTGAAAAAATATAATTTTTCTTTATTTTTATAATGAATAATTGAATATTGAAAATCTATTTTTCTTTTCAGAAACATCTTCGCTGCCATTTAGGAGCAAATTATTACTGAATCTACAATTGAACGTTCACAAATATTTAATGCCAACGCAATATTGGTGGTCATCGATTTTTCGAGCAATTTTCAATTATTTCCTAAGGCTTGCAATTTATCTCACAGAAAATTATCCGATTTTGCTCTATACAACTTATGGAAAAAAGGCGATTGTCAAATTTCACAATGAATGAATTCAACTTTTTCTTCTAAAGAAAAATTCATTTTCTTATTATCTAGAAAATCAATTTTTCCATTGATTTTAAAAGAAAAATTCAACTAAAAACAAATCTAACGAAGCTTAATTTCCAAACGTAAAGAAAATTGCAAAAAAAAGGCTTTTTTTAACAAAAATTTTTAGAAACAAATTAGATTTCTTAAAGAAATGAATGAAGAATTTTTAAGAAACAAATCGTGATTAAAAACCAAAATATTATTCCAAATATTCACTAAAAAGTGATTATTAGAGAATTTTTACTCTTAAGTTTGTGTTAAAAAGAAAAGTAAAAGCGAGAGGGCGAGAATAATTATTGTAATTGTGAATTATTTGTTATAAAATAATTTTCATTTTAATGAAGAAAAATTTCATTTATATCATCAAATCTAAAAATCATCGCATTGTAATATTTTTCAATTTTTGTATCATATTTATTGTATTTTTAAAAAATATTTTCGCCCTTTTACTTATGTTGCGTAGAATAAACAACAATTTCCATTATTTTATTATTATTAAAAAAAATAGGTGAAATTTATTTTTAGAATAAAAAGAACGAATTCAATATTTATTTCGAGAAAAAAACAATCATTTTAGGAAATTTTTATAAGAAATAGCAAAAACTAAACGAATTATTAGTAATAAAGTGATTGAAGTTATTAAAAAAATTTATTTTGTTAATTGTCTATCCTAATTAGAATTAAGTTTCATTATCTTGTAATAATTCAATTATCACATTTTTTATATTTATTTTAAGATATTTTAATTGGTAATAATTAGTGTGGCAAATTGTAAATTAAAGAGTATTTTTAATTAATTTTTTTCAATTTTTTTACAAGACAGTTTTTTTGCAGGTTAAAAAAAATAAGATCGACGTGAATAAAATCGATTATGATTCAGTTTCAGTTTATACTTTGACTGTCACACATTTCTAACAACTCTATATTGATAAATAATTTTTAAGTTAATTAGTTATAAAAATGTTTAATTAAATAATTTCTAGGGAAATTTAATTTAAAATTGACAACTGATTCTAATTAATATGGATTCCGGTGAGTTTTTTCTTACGAAATTAAAAAATTTATACGTCTTTTTATTTACTATTTTTAATGCAACTTTATTTACGTTTGATTTAAAGTTATTTAATAAATTTAAATATAAATAAATTTTAATAAATTAAATTAAAATCAAAATTAAAAATTAAATTAAAATCTAAATGAAAAATTACATAATTAGGTCACTTTTCTATTTACTAATAAACAGTTAAAATTATATTTTGTGTATTCCTTTTTAATTTCTAATTCTTCGAGAGAACTTGAAATACTTGAAATTTTTTTATAAAAAAAATTCTCAATTTTAATAAATTGAATTATTAAGGATATAAATAAATAATAATTTTAATAATAGTAATAAGTAACTAATAATAATTAATCAATAAAAAAAAGAGACTTTCTATCCTTTTTTTCGAAAAATAATTTCTAATGCGGAAAAAGAAATGAAATGAAAGTAAAAATAAAAATCGTGAATATTTGGTACTTCCGTTAAAAAAAAAGTTACTAAACCGGAATTGAGAAGTCGTGAGAAAATAAAGATTCGTTGTGTGTATTTCTTTTTTTAAATACACAATTCGCACATGGATTTTAGACACTTAAGACAAACAGAAATTCGTCATATTCGTGCTTGAGAGGAGACTCGTTTGCATGCCAGTGGAATTAAGGTCATTCGCAAAGGCTAATTGCACGGTCATTATACCCGTTTTTTTATTTTTTTTTTTTACTTTTTTCCGCAATTATCTCATTCTACAAGGATGACATCTGAGATCTGATATTTCTATATACAGGATATGGGGGTCATACATTTAATTCATATCATTTAATTTATCATCGAGACTTTAATTATTTCGCTTATATTACGAAATAAAAATATATTAATAAATATTAAAATTAATAAATAGTAAACTTTTTTCAAGTTTTATTCTTAATAACCAAAGTGTGACTCGTTTTAAATCTGAAGAAGTAAAAATATTTCAGTTAATTGAAAAATAACTGAGATTAGTTTGAAAAATAGTTATTCTAAACAGAATTCTAGATTCTAAACAGAAAAGTCGTATTAATGAAACGTCAATTTTTTTTTGTATCTATAACAATATTTTTCTAAAGTTAAAAAAAATGATTTGTTTGGAACGAAAAGAATTTCTCTGATGCTGCAAAAAAAAGCTAAAATGTTGTTTAAAGTTTACATTAAGTCTCTTCGAGAAATAAATAAATTTCCTTCTTCCTTGTCTCGTGAGAGACAATATTTTCATCGTTAATATTTACTCTTTAGAATCAATTTGTTTCAATAAAAAAAATTATTCTTGCCTCTAAATCTTGAATATTTGGCAATATATTTAGAATAATTAATTTTAATTTAGTTATTTTTATTTTCGAAAAGAAGCTGCTCACTAATGAGTAAAATTCATTTTCAATTTAGAAAATTGTTTATTCGGTAGGTAAATATTTATTCACCTAAATTAATAAAAATAAGAGGTAAAATATTCGTAAATATTGAAATAAAAATACTGATAAATATTCAAATGAAACTACTAATAAACATTGAAATGAAAATACTAATAATTATATTGAAATTAAAATTTAATTAAAAATTTATTAAATTTATTAAACTTAAAATATTAATAAATATTAAAACTAAAATATTACTTTAAATTGTTCAATTTTAATTTTTAATTCATAAAAATTACAATATTTTTGTATTATTTTTACAATTTTGTACTTCATTTACAAAAATATGAACAAATTCTATTAAAATAAATATTTGTTATATTTGTCAATATTTAAATTCAATTTTCATTAATATTTAAATTTTCAAATTTTTATAATTAAAGAAAAGGCAAAAATTAAATTTTTATGTTAATTCTGGCAAATAAATAATTTACTAAATATTTCTTTTTTTTTGTTAGACATACTAACCGATATTTCCGTTTTATTCTCACAGATGGCTGAATGGCGAACGACGATTCGTGTACTTGTCTGACAGATTCTCCAAGAAATAATCAAATAATCCCTCCGAGTCCCTGCACTATTTGCAATTGCGATTGGGAATCGAAAATTGGACGAAGAATTGCTGTCAGTCTTATATTATTAGAGATCAAACGATTTTTCCTATTGGCACTGGAAATGGTAATTGAATTTCCGGTTCTTCAATTTTCCGGTGCAATAAAATCTGTCATCTTCAGTTTTGTCGATGTTGCCCTTGGAGTTCCTTGTGCCCTCGCCGCAATTTCCTCCATTCGCAAGTATACCTATAAAATTAGCATTTCAATTTTTAACACATGGCAAAAAAATTACAAATTTTTAATTTAATTAGAATTCAAAATTTTTATTATTATTTTTAAAAATATTATTTAAATTTTTTTTTAAATTAATAACAATATATATTAATAGTAAATAAAATGATCTAAATCTGCAATCAGGTAATTTAAAAAATACAACAATGGAATTATAGACATAAATTGAAAATTGACCGACCTCGGCTAAATTTTTATGGGAATTCTTTTTTTCCTTTCCGTTATTAAATTATTGAAAAAGTAGTAAATTCGTGAAAGTGACAAAAATTGAGAACAAAAGAAAAGTATTTAGAAATAGAAAATTATGAATGTGACTCGCTTTTTTTTCTGAAAAATAATACAATGGGTGTTTTATTTTTTCTATATTTCAGACGACAGGAACAACCACGTTATTCGAAAGTGAAAATTCTCTTGAGGTGTGTAGTATTAATAATAGTTTTATGTACTATACTGAACATAGTGACCTTAGCCTCGATTGCCTATCATGTAAGCGTTAAACAAAGCACAATAAAAGGCATCTTCAATTTTTCAATGCACAATTATCTCACCGACAATTACTACAAGTATAATTTGGATGAAATTCAATTTGAATTGCAATGCTGTGGACACACAACTTACACGGACTGGTACTTCGATTGGAAGGTAAAATATTGCCCTTAATATTAATTAAATTATTCTGTTTCGTTCAAAAATATTTTTTTCCCGTGGAATAAAAAATAAAAATTTAATTTTAACTAAATGATAGTTTAATTTTAATTAAATGGTAGTTTAATTTTAATTAAATGAAATTTTAATTTTAATTAAATTATAATTTTATTTAATTTTAATCAAAGTTAAAATTTAATTTTATTCATTTAATTTCGTAATATTTCTCTTGCGTTAAAAAATATTTTTTACGTTTTTTTCCCATGAAATAAAAAACTAAAATTTAATTTGATAATATTTTTCTTTTTGGAAAAGTTGCAAGAAAAAAAATTGCATTTCATCCAATTTGATCATCTTTTCTTTTTTTTTTTTTTGTTGCAAGAAAAAATTAAAATTAAATTTTAAGGAAAGAAAATTAATATACTTGTCGCATAATTAATTAGAAATCAGAACGTGTTGCGCGTAAGAAGAAGAATCTACGGGCAATAAATCCAGATGAAGAGTTTAGGAATTATGGAGTGCCTTTCAGCTGCTGTGATATTCATTCTTTGCTGCCTTGCGTCCATATTCAGATGACAGAAGCAGATGTGAAAACAATTAACTCTCATGGTTGTTCCAAAATCTTGAGTTACATTCTCATCAGAATTGTTGTTTTTGGTTACGTCATGACAGCACTGGTTATCATCGTCTACGTCATCTTGCTTTATTTTATAATCAAAGTACTCTATAATTTTTTTTACTCTAATATTACTGCCAGAAATGAGTTTTTTTCCTTTTGTTTATACTTTTGAGAATTTTTATCGTAATTTCTTAAATACTCTGCTTTCTGCAATTGAAATGTAATTTAATATTATTAGCGGGCAGATTAAAAAGATATTTTATTTAAAAATATTAATATTAATTTTCCAATAGATTCAGATACAAACTTTTAAAAAATTCAATTATTAACTAATTTACTAATTAATTATTTATTGTTTTCAAAAACTTTAATGAAATTCTTCGCGAGAATTCAATTGTTTCCATACATTTTTTTGCAGGAATTCAATTATTTTAGAAAATTTAAATAAAATTCTTCGGAGAAATTTAATTACTTTGAAAAACTTGGATAAAAATATTTATCAGAATTAAATTATTTTCATAATTAATCAAATTCTTCGCAGAAATATAATTATTTTAAAGAATTTGAATAAAATTCTTCTCAAAAATTTTATTATTTTGAAAATTTTAATAGAATTCTTTATAAGAAAAAAATTTAATTAAATACTTTGAAAAAATGTAATTCTTTTTCAAAATTAATGAAATTCTTTGCAAAAATTTAAATATTTTGAAAAATTTTTGTAAAATTGTTTACTCACTTATTTGTAATAGAATTTTAATCAAATTCGTACCAAGATTTCAATTATTTTCTTAATTAGAAACATTTCTCGAAAGAATCCAATAATTTAAAAAAAATTGTAAAGAAATTTCTCGAGAGAATTCAATTATTTTTTAAAATGATATTATTTTGAAAAATTTTAATAGAATTCTTTATAAGAAACAAATTTAATTAAATACTTTAAAAAAATGTAATTCTTTTGCTAAATTAATAAAATTCTTTGCAAAAGTTTAAATATTTGGAAAAATTTTGGAAAAATTGTTTACTCACTTATTTTTAATAGAATTTTAATCAAATTCGTACCAAGATTTCAATTATTTTCTTAATTAATAACATTTCTCGAAAAAATGCAATTATTTAAAAAAAATATAAAAGAAATATTTTTTAATTGAAAACAATTTGGTTTAATTAATGTTTCGTATTTTTTAATCTTCAAAGCATTAAATTAGAATTTTATTAATAGAAAATAAAAAAAAATACAGAAAACAAAATAAAATTAAAAAAATGCAGAAAATTAAATAAAATTAAAAAAATATAGAGAATGAAAAGTACGTAAAATAATAAAAAAATTATTTAAAAATGATTTACATATTATTTTTACCCCATGAATATTTTTTCCAGATTACACGGAAACCTCTTCCTCAGGATTGCCCTTCAGATTGCTCCTGCCTCTCCTCCGAGGACGATTCTCCGAGATGTCCATTAATTCATCAAACTTCTCCTTGTGGTTGTAGTTCCAGGTACAAAATATCTAAAAAAATTATTTCTTTAAATATTTTCTTTTTACATTTCTTTAAATATTTTTTAAAACATTTCTTTAAATATTTTTTTAAACATTTCTTTAAATATTTTTTAAAACATTTCTTTAAATATTAAAAAAAAATGCCTTTAAATATTTTAAAAAATACGTTTAAATATTTCTTTAAAAATTTATTTTAATAAATATTCATAAAAAAATTAATTTCCAAAAAATTGATTTTTCAAAAAAGGGACAAATTATTATCAAAGTTTATTTATTTTTTCCAGTTCATCGTCACTTTCAGTAGGAAAAGAAATGCCCTATTTGTCATCTGGCAAAAGAAATTCAAAAACTCGACTCCAAACAATGAAAAAATCATCATTTTACTGGCGTAACGATTCATTTGCAAATCGAAGAAGAAAAACGTCATGTTCAAGTTACAGTGATGAATCGTCAATAACGGAATATTCGAAAAATCGCGAAATTGCCCAAATTAAACCCAGTCTTCATGAGCAGCACGAGATTTCTCAAAAATCATCAAAATCGTCAATAATTTTGTCGAAAGTTAACTCGAGATAAAAAAAAAATGTTGATAAATGGAGAAACTAAGAATCAAAACAATTCTTCTTCTTGAGGAAGGTTCTTCTTCTTTCTATATATAATCTCTAACAATAGATAATATAGGGTGATGAAAAAAAGATGACAAAAATGATCTATTCAGATAAAAAAATATTAAAAATAATGTCTACTAAAAATATCTTTTTTTTTACTCTCAAACTGAATTTACGAAACAGAATTCTTTTCTCATTTTTTATTGTTGAGTGTTAAGCAGTCGCGTATATCAGGTTGCATACAAACATGTGGATTTTTCTTTTCGAGAAAAAATACCTTCCTTTCAAGAAGGTTTTTTTATTTCGATTTTTACTCGAAAATACTTATTCTTTTTTCTAAAAATAAAATTCGTCCGAAAAGGTAGAAACTATATTTTTGGCGAAAGATTTTTTTTTCTTTGAATATTTTTAGAATTTTCTATATTTTCTCCAAACGACCTACTTTTCAAACACGGCGCTGCCAAAAAAACAGGTGGTAAGACGAAATTGTATTCACGTAATTTGATGAAATTCCGTTGAGATAGAAATGACGTTTTCAAATCGACGTCTATTGACGTCACGTTGCCTTTGACGTTTCTAGAATTTCATTTTCACAAAAATTATCTAAGAATTTTTTCCGAAAAGATTTTATTTTCCAAAAGGAAATTTTCCAAAAAAAATTCCAAATTTTTCAAAATAATTTTCCAAGACAAAAGTATTTTTTTTTTGCGCAAAAAAGAAATTGAAGTAAAATTATTCTTGAACTTTAAATATATTTTAAATCATTTTACTTTTTGTTGATTTTTTTTGTAATCAAAAATTAATTGTAAAAATTGTAAAAAAATTCATTCCCATTAATTCTGAGAGCGTATTTTCCAAATGACAATGGAAGTTTATCAAGACAATTGAACACAGTTAAAAATATGCAATTTGCAAAGTAATAATGTTTCGGTTGAGATGGAAATTATCCATTTAAAAATTAATTAAAAAATTATTCTCCTAGTCATCTAATTGTTACAATGCAAGTCTCGGATAAACAAAAATTTTTTTTTTCCCAACGATAATATTATTATTTTCACAAGTGCTTTTGAAACTGTCATTTATTTTTTCGGTGAAGAAAAAAATTTCCCTGAATAATAAAATGATATACGCACGAAATCTTATCTTATTGATTTGCTGAGAAAAAAGAAAAGTTATTTATACATAAGTATACGAAAATTCCAAGAAAGTTTCTCCACGAATTTTCTCGTAAAAAAAAAAAATTATTGACTTTTTTTCGCAATTAAATTTTGAAAATTGTCAAGTTCCTTGAAGATATGAATTCGCAAGTTAAGTAAATGATATACTCGTGTGGTTTTTAGTCGAAAATCTTGGACGAATTCGAGTCTGACCCGGCTTGTAATAGAACGACCGCGTTGCGCTTTGCATTTCTGGCGTTCCAGTCGTTGACACGAAAACAAAAAAAAAATTAAATATTTAGAGCAGTCCGATTAATGCGACAAAAATAGTTTTTACAAAAGAAAAATTTATTTTTGCAAATTATTTACTTACTAAATTATATATTATTAATTATCAATTATCAACTATCAATTCGAAATTCTTTTCTTATTTTTACCTTTTTCTTCCTATTTTTCTCTTTACGTTTTATTATTGTCAATAAATGTAATAAGAGAGAAAATATTTTTTTTAAATATTCGAAATTAAATTCTTTTTCATAAGGAAATATTTTCGAAAGAGAATTTTTCAAAGAGGAAATTAATTATAAATATATAAATATTTAAAAATATAAATATTTAAAAATATAAATATATAAAAATAGAAATAGAAATAAAATGCAAATAGAAATAAAATATAAATAGAAATAAAATACGAATAGAATATAAATAAAAAATAGAAATATAAATAATAGAAGTATATGAAAATAAAATATAAAAATGTCAGAAATTTTAATTTACTAAAAAGAAATTTTTTTCTTGTCATTTTGAGAGAAAGAAAAGAAAAATTTTTTTCACGCGAAAACTGCATTGTTCATATTAACTTATTTATTGTTTAGAAATAATATATATTCCAAAGAATCATTTGAATTTCGCAGATTTTTAATATTCAAAGAGACTATAATTTAGTGTACTTTTCGTGTGTTGAACGCATAAAGAACTTTCCAGTTTCCAGCAGTCGATCTTGAAATTTATGAGTTTCACCCATACGCGAGTGTGTAAAATCCGCACAAGGACAAAAGCAATATCTTATAATTTTACGCGAAACCTTTCTTTTCATTCTTTCAATGTCAAACTTTTGTTGAGCGAGAAATATTTTTTGCAAAAAAAAAGAAAAATCCATCTTAAAATAATTTTTTAAAAATACGAAATCAAATCTTATATTCAATTCATTAAATATAATCAAATTTTTGTTTCAAATTTCGAACTTCTAAAGAAAGGAGACTTCTTTTTTAAGTTTAAAAACAGATTATTGAAAATATTTTCCAATGAAAAGTATTTTATATTCGAAAATTATTTTTAAAAAAATTTTCTGTGGAAAATAATTTAATTTCGAATATTTAAAAAAAAAATTTTTTAAATATTTTTAATAGAGAATTTTCCAAACAGGAAAACTCTTTTTTTGTATATTTTAAATTATATTATTTTCCATACACTTTATTTTTGATCCAGAATTTTCCGGAGAAAAAAATTTTTCATTTTAGTATTCGAAATTAAATAATTTCTCAAGGGAAAATATTTTTGAAGGAGAATTTTTCAAAGTAGAAATTATTTGTAATAAAATTGTTAATATAATAATATACAAAATTAAATTATTTTTTTAGGAATTAATTTTTTCTCGAAAAATTCGCATTCGAAAATATTTTTCTATGGTTTATTAAATTACGAATGTTATTTATAGAAAATTTTTTTTCTCTGTGAAAAATTCGCTTTCGAAAATATTTTTCTATGGAAAACAATTTAATTTCGAATATTTATAGAAAAATAATTTTCTCTGTGAAAAATTTGCTGTAGAAAATATTTTTCTACGAAAAATAATTTAATTTTGAATATTATTTCCAAAGAAAGAATTATCTCTGTGAAAATTTAGCTTTTAAATATAATTTTCTACAAAAAACAATTTAATTTCAAAAATATTTATTAAAAAAAGAATTTTTTCTGTAAAAAAATTCGCTTTTAAAATTATTTTTCTATAATTTATTTAATTTCGAATATTATTTATAGAAAAATAATTTTCTCTTTTAAAAATTCGCTTTCGAAAATATTTTTCTATGGAAAACATAATTTAATTTCGAATATTATTTAAAGAAAAATAATGTTTTCTGTTGAAAATTCGAAATAGAAAATATTTTTCTATGGAAAACAATTTAAATTCGAATATTTAAGAGAAAAATAATTTTCTCTTTTAAAAATTCGCTTTCGAAAATATTTTTCTATGGTAAACAATATTTAATTTCGAATAGGGTAACTGTACCAATTGTCGAGGGTTTTAGGCAACATGTGACTTTGACATTTTTTTTCTCGGAAGTAAATGCACTTTAAAATTTGATTTTTGTATATTTGGACGAAGGATCTAATAATGTTTAATATTCATATTTATTTTTTTAATATAAACTAAATTGTTAAGCAAAAAATATATTTAAAAGTCAATCGAGCAAAAGCACCATTTGTCGATGGTCTTGTGCTAATTTCTCGAGGGTCTGTTCCAATTGTCGAGGGTATGACATTTTTAAACATATAACCCAATATAACCTAACAATTAACCTGTACAGATATCAGAAAATCGAGTAGATATTAATTTTTTCGATAAAAATATTATAGAACATTACCAGAAAACAAATATATTTATTTAACTATAATTGAATAATTTATAATATCGATATAAAACATTTTTATAGTAGATGATACAGGACAGAAAATTATTTAACTGTTTTTTAAACTTTTATAAATATAAGTTAATTAAATTTAATCAATTTTGTTAATCAGACATTAATTGAAAAAATAAATTAATTTAAGTCACATTAAATTTGTAAACGAATAAAATAAACTTTTATTACAAACTGTAAATATAATGGTTAATTATAATTAAACTATAGTACAAAATTTTTTAGTTTTGAATACTGCATTTTTTTATTAATTTTTTTTCGGTCTTCCTCGTTTTTTTGGTTGATTATTTTCTGTTGGTTGTAAATTTTTGGAGCATTTTTTTTCTTTTTCTCTGTACCTATAAATGTTTGGCATTTATGTTTGACGTTTAGTAAATAAACACTTAACCATCGATAAATGGTGCATCAGCGAAAAAAGTGACTACACCAATTTTCGAGTTATTACCTCGAAAAATGGAACTGTCAAAAAAAAGGAACCAAATACCGATGATTTGCTTTTAAAAAATATTAAATATTTTTTTTTAACAAAAAAACATGCATACAAAATTAATTTAGTTCGTGTACAAAATTATAATAATAATTTTGTACACAAAAAGTCATTATAAATACGTTTAATTTGCATTTCTAAAAATCTGTTTTAATCAACCAGAAGTATTAAGAAAATGGAGATTCGTGTAAATTTCACAGCAGTGAATTATAATATTAATTAAATAATTATTTTAGTAGAATCGCTACGAAATTTGTATATATAAATATACAGTTGAAAATACAAAGATTATTTAGAAATTTTTTTTGTTCTTAAATATTTTATATTATACTATTTATCTAAAAAAGAAAATTATTATCCTCGACAATTGGAGCACCCTCGGCAATTGGTGCAGTTCCTATTATTTATAGAAAAATAAGTTTCTATGTGAAAAATTCGGTTTTAAAAATATTTTTCTACAATAAAAATTTAATTTCGAATATTTATAAATAAATCATTTTCTCTGCGAAAAATTCGAATATATTTTGAATGTATTCCATAAAAAATATTTTTCTATGGAAAACAACTTAATTTCGAATATTATTTAGAAGGAAAGAATTTTTCCTGTAAAAATTTTGCTTTTAAAAATATTTTTCAACAAAAAACAATTTAATTTCGAATATTTACAGAAAATCAATTTTCTCTGTTAAAAATTCGCATTAGAAAATATTTTTCCATGGAAAACAATTTAATTTCTAATATTATTTTCCTTCAGAATATATTTTTCCCTTTTGTGGAAAATTGTCTATTATTATTTAAAATACTTTCTTTTGGCTGGCGATAATAATTTTTTTCAAATACTTTCTGTTAGCGAACGATAATTATTTTTTGAAAATAGTTTCTTTTCGAAAATCCTTCAATTCGGATATGAAAATGTTTCCCTTCAAGTCGAAATTTACTTTTTTGAAAACAGTTTCGAAAATATTTTTCGAAACTATTTTCAAAAATGTAAATTTCGACCAAATTGATTTTGGAAAAATATTTTAGGAAAAATTTCTTCTTTTTATTTTCGTGAAGATGAATTTCGAAAGCTGCCTTCTTTTTCCAAAACTGTCTATAACTTTTTGAATAATATACTTTTTCCCAGATTTTTCTGATCATTTTTCACTATTTTTTTTTCCCCTCAAACAATTGAAACTTTCCCATAGCTACGATTCTCTCGGCTGGTTTCGGTTTACCTCGGCGTTTGTCATTCGTCAACTAGCGACATAATGATTCGTCGAAATGAGCTTTGGCGCTCTATTCGATTTGAAATCCGAGTTTAAAAGAGAGAGAACTGGAGTCACATATTCACGCAGCACACACACAAACTCTCCGACTCCGGTTTGGCAGTTCAGTTCAGTTCTTGGTCGTTCGTCGCCGAGTCGAGAAGCATAGTATGTGCCCACCAGTTCATAGCCACGTACACGATTACTTGATTCATCATCAATCCCATAATAAATTAGTCTCTTACGGTTATCGTTAGGGGTGCCACACAAAACAAAGTTTCAGTGTACAATTTTTCTTTTCTAGTCCATTTCTCCGAGATTTTTTTTGCGCGAAAAAAAAATTCCTTGGTAACAGTTTTATTTTATTCCCCAATACGTTTAAATCTTTCCCAGTGATAGTATGATATTTTACTGGATATTCTAGTGCAAAGTGCGCTTTTTATTTTATTCATTATAGTTGTTTTTTTTTAATAATAAATTATTTTCCGAGGAACTGGTGTCTCGATAATTTTTTTTTCTTCAAACGAGAAGAAGAGGGAAGAAAGAAGAATACAAAACAAGAACCGAGTCGAGAATTATAACAGGAGAGAGAAGAGACTGAGAAAATAAGGAAACGAACTGAAACTAAAAACGGAATATTCAAAAAAAGAGTTGAAGAACTAATTTTTTTTAAAGTAATAACTGGATAAATTGAAGTTTTACTTGAATTTAACTTGAGAGAGAGCAAAAATAGTGTTGAAGTAAAAGAGAGAAAAATACTTGGGAGTTTAACGAAGAAACGAAACAAACTGACGATCTGCAATTCAAATCAAATAGAAAGAAGAAATTTCGTTAAAACTTTTTCCATACTTTGAGGATTATTTGTTGTTGTTTTTTTTTTTGAGGGTTAAAAAAATGAGTTGTACCACAGCACCAATTCCTCCGACGAAGATGTGTGAGACTCTTGTCAGCCAATGCGAGATACCGATCATCGACCTCGCACACGTGGGTAAGTAGGTGTCCAAGCAATGCCAATAGAGTTTAATAAGGGCGAGTAATTCCTCTTTCATCATCTCAGGCCAGGGTTGTCATTGTTATTGTTTCTACAAAACAAAAAAAGAATATTAGTATTCACTTAAAAACTCATTAACAATATTTCATTACTTTTTCAATATAGGAAATATTGTATATTTCAAAAAGTAACCCGAAATTATAAAGGATTTTGCAAATTAATTTTATTTCTTTCAATATAGAAGTGAAAGAAATATTTCATTGGAATTTAATTAAATTCAATTAAAACTAATCGTAAATTTTAGCCAATGACATAAATTACTGATTTTATGAATATATTAAATATCCATTTAATTCGTAAATTAAATAATTCAATTATTATTTAATAGTAATTGAATAGTAATTCAATTACTATTAATATTAATATTACAATATTATTATTACAATTATTACAATACTCTACAATTAATAATATTAATTATTAATTATTAATAAAATAATTAATAATATTAATAAATTCATTACTGAAAGTAATTATTTATCCACTCAAATAATTATTTTTTATTCATTTCTAATAAAAATAAATAAATAAAAATTTTTTTCTCTATAAATAAATAATTTTCAGTGGATAAATAATTATTTTTAAGTGCCTACATATAGTTAATTACAGTAATTAATTATTTATTTACTGAAAATTAATTATCGATTCATTGAAAATTAATTGTTTATCAACTGAAAAACTCAATTTATTTAATTTATTTCTAATATAAATCTTCTATAATAATAATCGTTATTGTATTCCGTAATTCTGCGAAGAATGTTAATATTTATTATATCAAAATAATTGAATTCCTATTATAAGAAGAATTTTATTATTTATAAAACTAATTTAATTCTTGCGAAGAATTTTACAATTTATAAAGAAAATTGAATTATTTTGCAGAATTTTGTTGAAATTTTAGAAATTAATTTAATTTTTTCGAAAAATTTTATTAATAATTTAAAAGAAAGAAATATTGAATAACTTTGTGATATTTCATTAAAATTGTATGAAGAGCAATTGAATTCCTGCGAAGGATTATTTATAAAAAAATTTGAAAATAATTGAATTCCTTCAAAGTTTCTTATTGTTTATAAAAATAATTGAATTCTTGCGAAGAAATTTATTAAAATTTTCGAAAATTATTAATTACATTCTTTTGAAGAATTTAAGTAATGGAATTTTATTACTAATTTTAATTGAAAATTTCGAAAGTTATTGAATTTTTTAGAAGAATTTCTTTCAAGTTTTCAAAATAATCGTGTTTTTTTAATAATAATTGAAATTAAACATTTGATTATTGAACTTCATTTCAATTTTTTAAAATCACTTAAATCATTTAAGGAATTTTATTAAAATATTGAAAATAATTGTGAATTCTTTCGAAAAATAAATAATGGATTTGACAATAATTGAATTCTTTCAAAACATTTTTTAAATTTTTTGAATAAAATCGATTTTGTTAATAATTAATAATTTTACTATTAAACAAATTTTTTTAAATTATTGAAAATATTATTATTGGCAGAAAATTAAATTCTTTTCTTTTAAATTAAAAATTTGTTAAATGGATTTTATTATTTATGAAAATAATTGAATTCTTGAGAAGAATTTATTAAAATTTTAGAAAATAACTCAATTTTTTCGAAAAATTCTATTTAAACTTTTTAAAAATAATTAAATCCTTTCGTGAAAATATATTGAAAATAATTGAATTTCTGTAAAAAATTGTACTATTTATAAAAATAATTGTATTCCTGCAAAGAATTTTATAAAAAAATTTGAAAATAATTCAATTCCTTCGAAGAATTCTGTTATTTATGAAAATAATTGAACACTTGAGAAGAATTAATTAAAATTGTTTAAAAAATAATTGAATTCCGTTGAAGAATTTTATTATTTTAGAAAATAATTGAATTCTTGCGAAAGATTTTATTAAAATTTTAGAAAATAACTCAATTTTTCCAATTTATATTAAAGATTTAAAAAAATAATTGAATCCTTTCGTGAAAATTTATCAAAAATTGTATTGAAAATAATTGAATTTCTGCAAAAAATTGTACTATTTATAAAAATAATTGAATTCCTAAGACGAATGTTATTATTTATGAAAATGAATTCCAGCGACAAATTTTATTAAAATTGAAATTATTCAAAAATCCAAGTTTATATTTGAAAATAAAAATTAGTTAAATAATCTTTAACGTTATTCGAGATCCTTTATAAAATAAGGCAAATAAAACGAAAACACTCAGACAATGAATAAAAATATTTATTTACTCATTATCCGAATGTTTTCGTTTTATTTTCCTTATTTTGAAAATAAAAAGTTTTGTGATTTGCATAATAATAATAAAATTGAATATCCCGTCTCGCGTGATATTCAAATAATTTTCTATTTTCTATAGATAAATAATTTCTTTTCACTAGATAAATAACCAATTTTCTCCACTGAAAAGTAATTTTTCCACTAAAAATTAATTATTTATCCACTAAAAAAGCAATTATTTATCCCCGTCAAACTTTAATTAATTTATTTCTAATAAAAAGAAAGAAATAATTTTCAGTGGATAAAATAATTATTTATCTACTGAAAATTAATTTTTTATCCACTCAAAATTTTATTCTTATTTATATTTCAATGTATTATTATTCCCATATTATTTTATTCCTAAATAATAATAGAAACGTCTTGAAAAGAGACTTTTTATTTCCCCTCAAATAATCGCGTGGAAATTATGTTTTGGAGAATATTGAAAAATGTTAATAAAATCATGGTTGTTTCACTATTATATCGAGCGTGGAATAGCATTCAGCACTTGGCAAAAGCGAATCACTTTATGGATGTTTTTTTTATAGCCAATTAAATGAATATTCTAGAAACTGGAAGTGAGTTTTTGCGTTAGAAAATCAGAACCTGATGCACGAGAGGAAAAATCGATTTATAATATTGACGTTTTTATGAGAATAAAATAATAGTTTATTGCATTTTTCTCTCTATATGAGGAGATTTTTCAAATGTTTAAAGCGCTCAGTAATTGTTTTTTATTTTCTTTTTGTTATTTTTTATTTACATTTTATTTTCTTTTTTTTCTTTTTTTCATTTTCTTTTTTTTATTTTCATTTTATTTTCTTCTTTTCTTTTTTTTTTATTTTCATTTTATTTTCTTCTATTCTTTTTTTCTTTCTTCTTCTTTTTATTCTTTTGATTTTTTTTTAATGAAGAGAGAGAGAGATGAAACTACCGCGTTTGGTGCAACTGTTATAAAATTACATAACAAACTTGTGCAATGATTTATTTTCAAACTCAAAGTTATTTATAATTTTTCATTGTCTCCTTTTATTTTCCTATACGAATATTTTTAAATAAATCAATTTTCGAAAATTCAGTCTCTTAATTTGAAATTTCAATAACTTGTCTGGGAAGGTAAAAAATTTTCTTTTCCGGTTTTTTATTAAATGAATTTCATTCTTATTTCTTAAAGAAAGCGTAGGTCGTTTAGCTTTGCAACTTGGACTATTAGGTTGTACTGTGACGAAATTGACAATGCAAAAATCGTAACCGAGGCCTTTCGAAATGACGAGCAGCCAATCATTTCAAGGCAACTGGTGGCTTATTATTGTGGGAAAAACTTTTACAGAAGATTTATTCGTTATTGATAAATATTAAGGAGGCGAAGGAAAAAATCACGGAATTATTTTCTTCCTATGGGAATTTCTCTTAAAAATATTTTTCCAATTTCGTAAAAATTCGAAACAATTTAATTTTTATTTATTGATGAAAATAAACAAAATAACAAAATAGAAAATTAAAAAATAAAATGACAGAGAATAAAAAAATAACACAAAAAGATAAAAAATAACGTAAAGTGAATTGAAAAATGTAAAGAAGAGAAAAAAATAAACAAAAGAAAATAAATAAAAATAATCAAACGTAAAAAATTAAAATTGTAATTGAAAAATAATTATTTTACAGGAAGAGGAAAAATTGTCATGAGGAAAAAATTTGTCGATTTAAATGCACTAAAAGAATTCCTGAATGAAAAGCTTCCCGCGTTTATTTCTATATGCATAGATTTTTTTTTCTTGACATTGTTTTGAATCATGACGTAAAGATAGCTCACGAAGTAACATAAGAGTTACATAATTTATAACAGCTGACCAACGATTGTCATTATTTTAATACTAAATTGTTTTTATTCGAGCGCTCATTACGATTTTTTTGTCTGCAATGTTATTGTTTTGATATACAAATAGAAAAAATTTAATAACTTTAATAAGTTTGAAAATAAGAATTTATATAAATTACTATGAACTGTAATTTTGTTATTTAGTCAATTTTTTTTACCTCCAATAAAAAGAATAATAAAATTTTCAAATTACCGCCAAAAGTAAAATTTTTGATTGCATAAAATATTATAAAATATTAAAGAACTTAAAATTACAGTCAAAATTAAATAAATTTCAGAATTCAAAATTCAAATTTCATAACTTTTTAAAATTAAATAACTTTCAAAATAAAATCCAAATAAAATGAAATTCAAAAGAAAAAATTTTGTTACGAAAATACAGAAGAAATGAATTTTTTTAAATTCATAATTTTCGAAAGAAAATAATTTCCAAAATAAAAGAAATTTAAAAATAAAATTCAAAAAAAAACTTTCGTTAAAAAAATACAGAAATTGAAATAAACCCTCTTTCTGAATTCATATAATTTTCCAAAGTGAAACAATATTCGAAATAAAAATAAAGTTCAAATTGAAATCGAATTAGAGCATTAAAACACACATTTGATATTAAATTGATATTATTGATATTAAATTCATATTATTGATATTAAATTATTTGAATAAAAAGGAAATTACGCGACAAAATTTGAAAAATAAAAATTATTAATAGTGACAATTGTCACTATCTTGTATAATTCTCCATCAATATAATTGGATTTCACAATTCAT